AAAGTTGTAATTAAATCCCCCCTGAATTGGTAGAGAACACTTATTTTGATGCCAACAGCACTTCAGGTGTGCTAAAAGTAGCCCAACAATTATCCGGTGCTTTCATTTCCCCCCTTTGCAAAAGGTAAGCGATGTTAAGGAAAGCGTGGGCTTATTGCGGTGCCGTGTTTATAATACATTTCCAAGGGTTTCACTAAAAATACGTTTCAAATAGATGGTGAGATTTGTTTGGCTACGGCACGCAAACCACGCTAAGTGCACTTTATTGATTCTCGCCCCAAATTTGAGTCTTTCAGCTCAACTGCTTTTGGTTGTTGGAAAAACAAAGGTATATAATCCAATTTTTGTCAGACATCGGATGGAAATGAAACGGCTGTTCGGATTCCATTGATTCAGGGCAGCAAAAACCATGAGGATGGTGACTCTCTGCTTCTGTGCTTCATTTCCCTTATGCACTTTCACCCTCTCTCTTTTCTTTTCATCCCCTACTTTCTTTCCTTTCCCTTCCTTCCCCCTTCCTTTCTCCCTTGTGTTCTCTTCCCTTCTTTCTCCTTCTTTCTTTCCCTTTCTTCCTTCTTTCCCTCATTCCTTCCTTCCCTCTCATTATAGCTTTTCCCATTTCCTTCCATCCCTCCTTTTTCTTTCTCCCCTTCTTCCTTTTGTTCTGTTCCCTTCTTTTTCTTTCTTTCCTTCCCTTCCTTCCCTCCCTCCCTCCCTCTCATTATACCCTTTCCCATTTCCTTCCATCCCTCCTTTTTCTTTCTTCCCCCTCCTTTCTCCCTTTCGCTCTCTTCCCTTTCTTTCTCTTTCTTTCCTTCCCTTTCTTCATAACCTTTTCCCTTCCTTCCTTCCCTCCCTCCCTCTCATTATAAACTTTCCATTTCCTTCCATCCCTCCTTTTTCTTTCTCCCTATCTTTCTTTCGTTCTCTTCGCTTCTTTTTCTTTCCTTCCCTTCATAACTTTTTTCTTTTTTTCTTCCTTCCTTCCCTCTCATTATACCCTTTCCCATTTCCTTCCATCCTCTACTTCTTTTCCTTTCCTTCTTTTCTCCCTTTCTTTCCTTCCCTTTGTTCATAACCTTTTCCCTTCCTTCCTTCCCTCCCTCTCTCTCATTATAAACTTTCCATTTCCTTCCATCCCTCCTTTTTCTTTTTCCCTTTCTTCCTTTCGTTCTCTTCGCTTCTTTCTCTTTCTTTCCTTCCCTTCATAACTTTTTTCTTCTTTTCTTCCTTCCTTCCCTCTCATTATACCCTTTCCCATTTCCTTCCATCCTCTACTTCCTTTCCATTCCTTTTCTTCCCCTACCTTTCTCCCTTTCATTCTCTTCCATTCTTTCTTTCTCTTTCTTTCTTTCTTTCCCTTTCTTCATAACTTTTTCCTTCCTTCTTTCTTTCCCTCATTCCTTCCTTCCCTCTCATTACACCCTTTCCCATTTCCTTCCATCCCTCCTTTTTCTTTCTTCCCCCTCCCTTCTCCCTTTCGTTCTCTTCCCTTCTTTCTCTTTCTTTCCTTCCCTTTCTTCATAACCTTTCCTTCCTTCCCTCCCTCCCTCCCTCTCATTATAAACTTTCCACTTCCTTCCATCCTTCCTTTTTCTTTCTCCCACTTCTCCCTTTCGTTCTTTTCCCTTCTTTCTCTTTCTTCCCTTTCTTCATAACCTTTTTCTTTCCTTCCTCCCTTCCCTCCCTCTCATTATACCCTTTCCCATTTCCTTCCATCCCTCCTTTTTCTTTCTCCCCTTCTTCCTTTCATTCTCTTCCCTTCTTTCTCTTTCTTTCCTTCCCTTTCTTCATAACCTTTTCCCTTCCTTCCTTCGTTCCTTCCCTCCCTCCCTCCCTCTCATTATACCCTTTCCATTTCCTTCCATCCCTCCTTTTTCTTTCTCCCACTTCTCCCTTTCGTTCTTTTCCCTTCTTTCTCTTTCTTCCCTTTCTTCATAACCTTTTTCTTTCCTTCCTCCCTTCCCTCCCTCTCATTATACCCTTTCCCATTTCCTTCCATCCCTCCTTTTTCTTTCTCCCCTTCTTCCTTTGGTTCTCTTCCCTTCTTTCTCTTTCTTTCCTTCCCTTTCTTCATAACCTTTTTCCTTCCCTCCCTCCCTCCCTCTCATTATAAACTTTCCATTTCCTTCCATCCCTCCTTTTTCTTTCTCCCACTTCTCCCTTTCGTTCTTTTCCCTTCTTTCTCTTTCTTCCCTTTCTTCATAACCTTTTTCTTTCCTTCCTCCCTTCCCTCCCTCTCATTATACCCTTTCCCATTTCCTTCCATCCCTCCTTTTTCTTTCTCCCCTTCTTCCTTTGGTTCTCTTCCCTTCTTTCTCTTTCTTCCCTTCCCTTTCTTCATAACCTTTTCCCTTCCTTCCTTCGTTCCTTCCCTCCCATTATACCCTTTCCATTTCCTTCCATCCCTCCTTTTTCTTTCTCCCACTTCTCCCTTTCGTTCTTTTCCCTTCTTTCTCTTTCTTCCCTTTCTTCATAACCTTTTTCTTTCCTTCCTCCCTTCCCTCCCTCTCATTATACCCTTTCCCATTTCCTTCCATCCCTCCTTTTTCTTTCTCCCCTTCTTCCTTTCATTCTCTTCCCTTCTTTCTCTTTCTTTCCTTCCCTTCCTTCATAACCTTTTCCCTTCCTTCCTTCCCTCCCTCCCTCCCTCTCATTATACCCTTTCAATTTCCTTCCATCCCTCCTTTTTCTTTCTCCCCTTCTTCCTTTCATTCTCTTCCCTTCTTTCTCTTTCTTCCCTTCCCTTCCTTCATAACCTTTTCCCTTCCTTCCTTCCCTCCCTCCCTCCCTCTCATTATAAACTTTCCATTTCCTTCCATCCCTCCTTTTTCTTTCTCCCACTTCTCCCTTTCGTTCTTTTCCCTTCTTTCTCTTTCTTCCCTTTCTTCATAACCTTTTTCTTTCCTTCCTCCCTTCCCTCCCTCTCATTATACCCTTTCCCATTTCCTTCCATCCCTCCTTTTTCTTTCTCCCCTTCTTCCTTTCATTCTCTTCCCTTCTTTCTCTTTCTTTCCTTCCCTTCCTTCATAACCTTTTCCCTTCCTTCCTTCCCTCCCTCTCATTATACCCTTTCAATTTCCTTCCATCCCTCCTTTTTCTTTCTCCCACTTCTCCCTTTCGTTCTTTTCCCTTCTTTCTCTTTCTTCCCTTTCTTCATAACCTTTTTCTTTCCTTCCTCCCTTCCCTCCCTCTCATTATACCCTTTCCCATTTCCTTCCATCCCTCCTTTTTCTTTCTCCCCTTCTTCCTTTCATTCTCTTCCCTTCTTTCTCTTTCTTTCCTTCCCTTCCTTCATAACCTTTTCCCTTCCTTCCTTCCCTCCCTCCCTCCCTCTCATTATACCCTTTCAATTTCCTTCCATCCCTCCTTTTTCTTTCTCCCCTTCTTCCTTTCATTCTCTTCCCTTCTTTCTCTTTCTTCCCTTCCCTTTCTTCATAACCTTTTCCCTTCCTTCCTTCCCTCCCTCCCTCCCTCTCATTATACCCTTTCAATTTCCTTCCATCCCTCCTTTTTCTTTCTCCCACTTCTCCCTTTCGTTCTTTTCCCTTCTTTCTCTTTCTTCCCTTTCTTCATAACCTTTTTCTTTCCTTCCTCCCTTCCCTCCCTCTCATTATACCCTTTCATTTCCTTCCATCCCTCCTTTTTCTTTCTCCCACTTCTCCCTTTCGTTCTTTTCCCTTCTTTCTCTTTCTTCCCTTTCTTCATAACCTTTTTCTTTCCTTCCTCCCTTCCCTCCCTCTCATTATACCCTTTCCCATTTCCTTCCATCCCTCCTTTTTCTTTCTCCCCTTCTTCCTTTGGTTCTCTTCCCTTCTTTCTCTTTCTTTCCTTCCCTTTCTTCATAACCTTTTTCCTTCCCTCCCTCCCTCCCTCTCATTATAAACTTTCCACTTCCTTCCATCCTTCCTTTTTCTTTCTCCCACTTCTCCCTTTCGTTCTTTTCCCTTCTTTCTCTTTCTTCCCTTTCTTCATAACCTTTTTCTTTCCTTCCTCCCTTCCCTCCCTCTCATTATACCCTTTCCCATTTCCTTCCATCCCTCCTTTTTCTTTCTCCCCTTCTTCCTTTGGTTCTCTTCCCTTCTTTCTCTTTCTTTCCTTCCCTTTCTTCATAACCTTTTTCCTTCCCTCCCTCCCTCCCTCTCATTATAAACTTTCCATTTCCTTCCATCCCTCCTTTTTCTTTCTCCCACTTCTCCCTTTCGTTCTTTTCCCTTCTTTCTCTTTCTTCCCTTTCTTCATAACCTTTTTCTTTCCTTCCTCCCTTCCCTCCCTCTCATTATACCCTTTCCCATTTCCTTCCATCCCTCCTTTTTCTTTCTCCCCTTCTTCCTTTCATTCTTTTCCCTTCTTTCTCTTTCTTTCCTTCCCTTCCTTCATAACCTTTTCCCTTCATTCCTTCCCTCCCTCCCTCCCTCTCATTATACCCTTTCCCATTTCCTTCCATCCCTCCTTTTTCTTTCTCCCCTTCTTCCTTTCATTCTCTTCCCTTCTTTCTCTTTCTTCCCTTCCCTTCCTTCATAACCTTTTCCCTTCCTTCCTTCCCTCCCTCCCTCCCTCTCATTATAAACTTTCCACTTCCTTCCATCCTTCCTTTTTCTTTCTCCCACTTCTCCCTTTCGTTCTTTTCCCTTCTTTCTCTTTCTTCCCTTTCTTCATAACCTTTTTCTTTCCTTCCTCCCTTCCCTCCCTCTCATTATACCCTTTCCCATTTCCTTCCATTCCTCCTTCATCTTTCTTTCCCCTCTCCTTTCTTCCTTTTGTTCTCTTCCCTTCTTTCTCTTTTTTTCCTTCCCTCCATAACTTTTTTCTTCCTTCATTGTGATCTATTTGGGGCAGAACTCCATCTGCAAAAGAAAGAGCATGGCCTGCATCCTGCATCATGCACTTGAAGGGACACCTGATGTGGGCCATGCTCTTTCTGCTTGGGAACCGCACACTGGCTGCCTTGTCTCTGCCTGCTTTCATGTGCTGAAGTGTGCCTTTGTGTTCTCTCCCAGGTGTGTTGCAGAGTCCGGTTCCTGGAGCATCGGTGCCGCTGCGCGACCTCCTGAGAGCCGTCAAGAGACTGAGAGGCATATGAGGAGCTCCTGGCAGGCGAAACAGTCCCTCGCAAAGACACCCAGGAGGAGGGAGAAGGAGAAAGGGGACAAGCGCCGGAGCTGAAACCCCCTGCCGCCAGCCATGGTAGGCACTCCGCGGACACGGGCACGCGTGGAAACCAGATACTATTTATTTATTTATAAATTATAACAGCAAAACAACAGAGAGAAAACAACCAGGCACAGATTAACACCTCCCAGCAAGAGCTTTTCCCAGGCTCAGGCAGGCCTTCAAATGCTAATGAAGGTGATCAGCTAAACATTCACACCTAACTGCAGCAGGGAAGAGCTCCTTGCCCCACCCCGGCCATTCCACAGATATGTAAACCCATTGTCCTAATTCCAACAGACCTCACTACCTCTGAGGTTGCCTGCCATAGATGCAGGCGAAACGTCAGGAGAAATGCCTCTAGAACATGGCTCTATAGCCTGAAAAAACCCACAAGAACCTAGTGATTCCAGCCATGAAAGCCTTCGACAATATATTTATTTATTTATTTATTTATTTGGGCCATTTCTACTCCGCCCTTCTCACCCCCGAGGGGGGACGGGACTCAGAGCGGCTAACACAGGCAACAATTCAATGCCAACAATATCCAAACAATATAAAACAGCAATATAGAATCCATTACATAACAATTAAGCAGTGATATTAATTAAAATTACATAGGCACATAGAACAGATCACAGAATCACAGGTCATCAAGCCATTTCCAATTGTCAAACAATCCTATCGTCCGAGTTCGGTGGCTAAAGTGCTGCTGTGCCCACTAGCCAAAGGCCTGGCTCCAAAACCACGTCTTTAGTTTTTCCTAAAAGCCTATCTAATCAAGCTGGGGTGCGAATTCCATAAGCGGGGGGTCACTGCTGAGAAGGCCCTGTCCCTCGTCCCCACCAGACGCGTTTGAGACGCTGGTGGGACGGAGAGCAGGGCCTCCCCAGTAGATCTTAAATTACGAGGTGGAACGTAGAGAGAGATACGTTCGGATAAGTAAGCTGGGCTGAAGCTGTATAGGGTTTTACAGGCCAAGACCATCACTTTGAATTGTGCTCGGAGGTGGACCAGCAGCCAGTGGAGCTGACGCAGCAGCAAGGTGGTATGCTCCCTGTATGTCGCTCCGGTGAGTAATCTGGCGGCTGCCCGTTGGACTAATTGACGTCTCCGAACAGTCTTCAAAGGCAACCCCACGTAGAGTGTGTTGCAGTAATCTATTCGGGATGTATTATTATTATTATTATTATTATTAAACTTTATTTGTACTCCGCTAGCATCTCCTGAAGGTCTCGATGCGGCTTACAAAGGCCAAGGCCTCAACACACAATACAACAATACAAAACCTAAAGCAAATTAAAAACAATTAAAGCAATAAACAACAAGCAATAAACAATACACTAAGACACAGTAAAACTGGGCCAGGCCAGAGTAAAGGGTACAGGATTAAAAGTGCTGATGTGACAGGAGGTCTGTAGGATTATAGGGCAAGTGCAGTGTGCGGTGTGCAGCAATCTTAGCAATTCTACTAAAGTGCTTCTGGGACTTGGTATTGGAGATTTCCTATTCTGGGAAGGCACATCGGAACAGCCAGGTCTTCAAGTTCTTTCTGAAGACTGCCAGGGTAGGGGCCTGTCTAAGATCTTTGGGGAGGGTGTTCCAGAGTCGGGGGGCCACCACAGAAAAGGCCCTGTCTCGTGTCCCCACCAAACGCGCTTGCGACGCAGGCGGGATCACGAGCAGGGCCTCTCCAGATGACCGAAGAGAACGCGTGGGTTCGTAGATGGAGATGCGGTCACGCAGGTAGGCTGGTCCCAAACCGTTCAGGGCTTTGTAGGTAAGCACCTGCACCTTGAATTGGGCTCGGTAAATAAACGGCAGCCAGTGGAGCTCCTTGAACAGGAGGGTTGACCTCTCTCTGTAAGGGCCCCCAGTTAGCATCCTGGCTGCTGCTCGTTGGACCAGTTGGAACTTCCGAGCCGTTTTCAAGGGCAGCCCCACGTAGAGCGCTTTGCAGTAGTCCAATCTGGAGGTGACCAAGGCATGGACCATGTAACCAGAGCGTGGACCACCGTGGCCAAGTCAGGCTTCCCACGGTACGGGCGCAACTGGTGCACAAACTTTGAACTGTGCAAAAGCTCCCTTGGCCACCGCTGAGACCTGGGGTTCCAGAAACAAGAATCCCCCCTTTCCCGTCTCCCTCTCTTTCCCCCATTTCCGAGCCTGGTTGGGAACTCTTGAGTGTGGGAAGGAGCCAGGCTCTGAACTGGCACTGATTTAACGGGCGCCTTGGCACCACTTTTCAGCTGAGTAAAATGGGCTTTGATTTATTGCCGGGGCAGCGTCAAAACCACAGAGCACGTGCCCAGGGAGGCTGCAGCGCATGAATTATTAAGCCGGGAGGCAGGGATGCTCATAAATCACCCCCCACCCACAAGAAGAAGAAGAAGAATAAAAGGGGATTGGCGAGATGTTTTGGCAACCTTGGGCTCCTCCAGCTTGTGAGGACCTTCCTGCCTTGGCTTACCCTTCTGCAAGGTCAAGTCGCTGTTGCGGTTTGGCTTGGGGATGTTTCAAACCTACTTGCCAAGCCTGATCAATACCCTACCTGGACATCCGACCGACCGGAGACTCGCCGCCACCCCAGCTTGGTTTCCATTTTAATCATACAGTCAGGATTGTGCCTTCAAAGGCTTGAGCTCTCGCAGTGCTCTAATGTTCCTGCAGAATATATTTGGAGGGGCCGAAGAGCTGGCCACAGGGGAGGGCAGGCTCGCTGGCACAGGCCGGTAATGAATGCCAGCCAGCTCGCCCGCAGATAGGAGAGCCTCTCGAGCGTATTGATTTCCTTGGTCCTCCAAATGTTATTGCTCAGAGGCAGCATGGAGCGGGCTGTGTCTGTGTGTGTGTGTACAGCTACTAGGTCAGAGGCAGAGAAGTTCTCCAGAGGGATTTACATGCTGGACCGCACAACTGGGCCTCTGTAGACAGGTTGCTCTCTAGGGTCCGGCCCAGGGGTCATGCCATGCCTCCAGAAACAGCCTGACTAGCTCCTTCCATAATCATAATCATAATCATAATCATAATATTGTCGAAGGTTTTCATGGCTGGAATCACTAGGTTGTTGTAGGTTTTTTGGGCTATGTGGCCATGTTCTAGAGGCATTCTCTCCTGACATTTCACCTGCATTTATGGCAAGCATCCTCAGAGGATGCATGACAACCTCTGAGGATGCATGACATAGATGCAGCCGAAACGTCAGGAGAGAATGCTTCTAGAACATGGCCATATAGCCCCAAAAAACCTACAACAACCCACATAATAATAATAATAATAATAATAATAATAATAATAATAATAATATTGTCGAAGGTTTTCATGGCTGGAATCACTAGGTTGTTGTAGGTTTTTTGGGCTATGTGGCCATGTTCTAGAGGCATTCTCTCCTGACATTTCACCTGCATTTATGGCAAGCATCCTCAGAGGTAGAACCTCTGAAGATGCTTGCCATAGATGCAGGTGAAACGTCAGGAGAGAATGCTTCTAGAACATGGCCATATAGCCCCAAAAAACCTACAACAACCCATAATAATAATAATAATAATAATAATAATAATAATAATAATATATTGTAGAATTATTATTATTAAACTTTATTTGTACCCCGCTAGCATCTCCCAAAGGATTCGATGCGGCTTACACAGGCCGAGGCCTCAACACACAACACAACAATACAATCTAAGCAAATCAAACAATTAAAAACAGAATAAAGCAAAGTAAACAACAGGCACAATACACTAAAACACAATAAAACTGGGCCGGGCCAGGTGGGTACAAGGATTAAAAGTGCTGATGTGACAGGAGGTGTATAAAGGGCTTCTAGGGCAAGTGCAATGTGCGATGTGCAGCAGTCATTGGTTCTGGTAAAGTGATTATGGGACTTGGTGGTGGAGATTTCCTAATCTGGAAAGGCGCATCGGAAAAGCCAGGTTTTCAAGTTCTTTCTGAAGACAGCCAATGAGGGGGCCTGTCTAAGGTCTTTGGGGAGGGTGTTCCAGAGTTGGGGGGCCACCACGGAAAAGGCCCTGTCTCGTGTCCCCACCAAACGCGCTTGCGACGCAGGCGGGATCACGAGCAGGGCCTCCCCAGATAGGCTAATAATAATAATAATAATAATAATAATAATAATAATAATAATAATAATATTGTCAAAGGTTTTCATGGCTGGAATCACTAGGTTGTTGTAGGTTTTTTGAGCTATGTGGCCATGTTCTAGAGGCATTCTCTCCTGACGTTTCGCCTGCATCTATGGCAAGCATCCTCAGAGGTAGTGAGGTCTTTTTCCTAGCTCCAGCAGACCTCACTACCTCTGAGGATGCTTGCCATAGATGCAGATGAAACGTCAGGAGAGAATGCCTCTAGAACAGCCACATAGCCCCCAAAAAACTACAACAACCCAATAATAATATACTTTATTTATATTTATATTCTGCTCTATCTCTCCGAGGGGACTCAGGGCGCATTACAGTATGCATATATGGCAAGCATTCAATGCCGTTATGGGAGCCCCTGATGGCGCAGTGGGTTAAACCCCAGTGCAGGCAGGACTGAAGACCAACAGGTCGCAGGTTTGAATCCGGGGAGAGGCGGATGAGCTCCCTCTGTCAGCTCCAGCTCCTCATGCAGGGACATGAGAGAAGCCTCCCATAAGGATGATAAAAGCATCAAATCATCCAGGCGTCCCCTGGGCAACGTCCTTGCAGACGGCCAATTCTCTCACACCAGAAGCAATTTGCTCCTGACACGACAAAAAAAAATGCCGTTATACAATTCACAAAGACAGACAGTACACAGACAGAGGCAAAGGCTTCCCTCTTTTCATCTCTGGCATCTCAGGCTGTGCTTGACTCCGGCCATGGGGAAGTGCTGTTGTTCCATCTTCCCTGCCAAGAAACTTGGTCGTCCTTAGATGTCCTCCTGATCAAAATGTCAGCATGATCTTATGGGCACCTTTTACTATCTCCCTTCTTAAAGCGGTACCTATTTATCTACTCACATTGCTGTTTTGGAACTGCTAGGTGAGCAGAAGCTGGGCTGGCAGTTGGGAGCTCACCCCAACCCAGGCTTGAACAGTCGACCTTTTAGTTGGCAAGATTTTCTGCAGCTGGCGGTTTAACCCGCTGTGTTAAAGCCCGGCGCATTGTATTGTATCAATTTGATTGAGTCTTATTTTTTGAGAGAAAAAGCAGGGTATAAACAACAACAACATTTTTTTTAAATCATGTCAGGAGTGATTTGAGAAACTGCAAGTCGCTTTTGGTGTGAGATAATTGGCCGTCTGCACAGAGGTTGCCCAGGGGACGGATGGATCTTTTACCATCCTATGGGAGGCTTCTCTCGTGTCCCCGCAAGGTGTTTTGGACCAACTCCCATAATGTGGGTATACAGATGCTCCCTTGATTGACTGAAGTGTCCAGTTCCAAGAGGACAAAGGCATGGGCCAACTTGGGCCCTCCCTCCAGGTGTTTTGGGTTCCAACTCCCATAACGTGGATATGCAGATGATCCCTTGATTTACTGGAGTGTCCAGTTCCAAGTGGACAAAGGCATAGGCCAACTTCAGACCTCCTTTTAGGTGTTTTGGACTCCAACTCCCATAATGTGGGTATGGAGATGATCCCTTCAATGACTGAAGTGCCCAGTTCCAAGAAGACAAAGGCATGGGCCAACTTGGGCCCTCCCTCCAGGTGTTTTGGACTTCAGTTCCCACAATGTGGGTATGCAGATGATCCCATGATGGACTGAAGGGTCCATTTCCAAGAGGACAAAGGCATGGACCAACTTGGGCCTTCCTTCCAAGTGTTTTGGACTCCAACTCCCATAACGTGGGTATGCAGATGACCCCTTGAATGACTGAAGTGTCTGGTTCCAAGAGGACAAAGGCATGGGCCAACTTGGGCCCTCCATCCAGGTGTTTTGGGTTCCAACTCCCACAACGTGGGTATGCAGATGATCCCTTGATGGACTGAAGTGTCTAGTTCCAAGAGGACAAAGGCATGGGCCAACTTGGGCCCTCCCTCAAGGTGTTTTGGCCTTCAACTCCCACAACCTGGGTATGCAGATGATCCCTTGAATGACTGAAGTGTCCAGTCCCAAGAGGACAAAGGCATGGGCCAACTTCAGCCCTCCTTTTAGGTGTTTTGGGTTCCAACTCTCACAACTTGGGTATGCAGATGATCCCTTGATGGACTGAAGTGTCTAGTTCCAAGAGGAGAAAGGCATGGGCCAACTTGGGCCCTCCTTCCAGGTGTTTTGGATTCCAAAACACCATTTACCCATCTCCCACAACATGGGTATGCAGATGATCCCTTGAATGACTGAAGTGCCCAGTCCCAAGAGGACAAAGGCATGGGCCAACTTGGGCCCTCCCTCCAGGTGTTTTGGACTCCTCCCACAACATGGTTATGCAGATGATCCCTTGATTTACTGAAGTGTCCAGTTCCAAGTGGACAAAGGCACAGGCCAACTTCAGCCCTCCTTTTAGGTGTTTTGGACTCCAACTCTCATAATGTCATTATGGAGATGATCCCTTCAATGACTGAAGTGTCCAGTTCCAAGAGGACAAAGGCATGGGCCAACTTGGACCCTCCCTCCAGGTGTTTTGGACTCCAACTCCCACAATGTAGGTATGCAGATGATCCCTTGATTGACTGAAGGGTCCAGTTATAAGAGGAGAGAACCTCAAGCCCTTTCCTTTTCCCCCTCAGCTGCTTAAGCGGCTGAGGGGGAAAGGAAGGGGCCTGAGGCTGTGAGGAATGGTGGGAGTTAAAAGTCCAAACACCTAGAGAGCCAAAGTTTGCCCAGGCCTGATCTAGTTTCACTATTAGAAATGTTCCTGCTCCTTTTGTGAGGGTCTTGCACCCTCAGCGAATGCATTCCTGTTTCCTCCTCTTCTTGATAACCTCTTCCCTTCTTCTTCCACGTTCCTCCCAACAGAGATCGATCCGCTCGTTTGTGAACGATGACCGGCACGTGATGATGAAGCACTCCACCATTTACCCGTCTCCGGCAGAACTCAAAGCCGTCCAGAACATGGTCTCCACCGTGGAGTGCGCCCTGAAGCAGGTCTCGGACTGGATGGACGAAACCAGCAAATCCACCCCGGCAGAGAGCAGCACGGAAAGCAAAGAAGAACCGGCGGCAGACGGCAGCGGCGATGGTGGCAGTCACAAGTGAGTGGGTTGGACTTTATGGTGTGTGCAGGGAGTCCCCAAAGATCACGACCTACCTCTTGTGTCTTGGGAATGCTAGGTGGTGCGGTCTCGGTGCCACTTGCTGTTTGGGCTTTTGGGGCAACGGTGAGTCGGGAGAGAGTGGATCCTTCCCTGTGTCTTGACTCTAGACTTGAGATTTCGCGAGCCTTACTTGGTTTTCTTACAAAAGTGGTCTGGATTCAACCACAAGGCGTCTGATGTAAAAGATATACTGTATATACTCGAGTATAAGCCTTGTTTTTCAGTCCTTGTTTTAGGCTGAAAAAGTCTCCCCGGCTTATACTTGAGTCAAGGTTATGTATTATTTTACTTTCTTGTTGTTTTTTTAAATTATTATTATTATTATTATTATTATTATTATTATTATTATTTTACTTTATTATTGTTGTTATTACATTATTTTTCTCTATTTATTATTGTTATTGTTACATTTATTGTTTTACTCTATTATTGTTATTACTAGCCGTCCCCTGCCACGCGTTGCTGTGGTCCACTTTGGTGGTCATGGGGATTCTGTGTGAGAGGTTTGGTCCAATTCTATCGTTGGTGGGGTTCAGAATCCCAGCAACTACAATTACCAAATGTCAAGATTCTATTTTCCCCAAACTCCACCAGTGTTCACTTTTGGGCATATTGAGTATTTGTGTAGAGTTTGGTCCAGACGCAAGACACCTAACAACCCAATGTATGTCCTTCACCCAAAAAATGGATTTTGTCGTTTAGGAGTTGTAGTTGCTGGGATTTATACAATCAAAGAGCATTCTGAACGCCACCAACGATGGAATTGGGCCAAACTTCCCACATAGAATCATCAATACTTGAAGGGACTTGCTGATGTGAGCTTCCTTCCAGCCTTGCACGCTCTCCCCTCTCACCACCCAGCCATGTGCTGAGCACGCCTGCTCTCTCCTCCCCACTTGGAATCTCAAAAACAGCCTGAGAGGCCGCCAATCACAGCGGAGAAGGGCTTTTGGTGGGAAGATTCTCTGTCTGTTTCCAAAAAGGAAGAGAAGGACAGGTGGAGAGGAACCAGAAGGGTTCCTAAGACCAGTGTTTCTCAACCTGGGGGTCGGGACCCCTGGGTGGGTCGCGAGGGGGTGTCAGAGGGGTCACCAAAGACCATCAGAAAACACAGTATTTTCTGTTGGTCATGGGAAGTTTGGCCCAATTCTATCATTGTTGGGGTTCAGAATGCTCTTTGATTGTAGGTGAACTATAAATACCAGCAACTACAACTCCCAAATGTCAAGGTCGATTTTCCCCAAACTCCAACAGTGTTCACATTTTGGCATATTGAGTATTCGTGCCAAGTTTTGGTCCAGATCCATCATTGTTTGAGTCCACAATGCTCTCTGGATGTAGGTGAACTACAACTCCAAAACTCAAAGCCAATGCCCACCCAACCCTTCCAGGGTTTTCTGCTGGTCATGGGAGTTCTGTGTGCAGAGTTGGGTCAATTCTATCATTGGTGGTGTTCAGAATGCTCTTTGATTGTAGGCTAACTATACATTCCAGCAACTACAATTCCCAAATGACAGATTCAATTCCCCCCACAACCCCACTAGTATTCAAATGTGGGCGTATTGGCAAATTTGGTCCAGTGAATGAAAATCCATCCTGCATATCAGATATTTACATGACGATTCAGAACAGTAGCAAAATTCCAGTTATGAAGTAGCAACGGAAACAATTTTATGGGCGGGGGTCACCACAACATGGGGAACTGTATTAAGGGGTCGCGGCAGGAGGAAGGTTGAGAAACACTGCTAAGACCATCAGAAATACATGACCCCCCCACCCCACGACCCTCCCAGGGGTCTTGACCCCCAGGTTGAGAAACGCTGATTCAAGTTCTTCCTAAAGTCCAGACAGAGTCTCCTTCCCTGCCATTGGAACCCATGTCTCCATTGAGTCCCAGTCTCCAGGGCAGCAGAGAGGAAGCCTTTCAAATACTCAGACAGAGAGCTCATGTCTCGTCTCTCCCTTCTCTTCTGGAGGCTAAACAGGCCCAGCTCTTTCAGCCACTCTTCGGCGGGATTCATAGCTTCCAGGCCTTGGAGCAACTCTCTCGCTGCAAGAATCCGGAATGCAGGCACACCATTACGTGAGGGACATAGGAATAGAGAAATGGAAGCATGGGGAGAGCTGTAGCATCGCCTCCATGCCGGGCGAAGGGCCACAGCTGTGTGCCATCAGTGTCTTCTTGAGGAAAAGCCCGCTTGACAACAGATTGCGCGAAACATCTGCTCGCCATGTGTCTGCATCTGCTCCCTGTGCCTCCACCAGCCTCTCACTCTTCAGTCCTGCTGTTTGGAAAAAGAAGTCACTGCATCGCGTTTACATTTGCCTCTCGGTTGTTGTCGTTGTTTTGAACCCACAAATGGACAAACCTAGACTTTGCGGGTTGGCACATGCATTGAGCCAAAAGCCACACGTGTGTGAGCATGTGCTCAAAAAGTCTGAGGAGGAGAAGGGCAAACGCGCAAAACAGATTTAGCCGTGTTGAAGGCACAATTGGTTCAGCAAATGCTAAGTGGCCGTGAAAATGTTTCTCCGCTGCCTGTCTGTTTCCTCTTCTCTTCCTTCCCTCCCTCCCCTCCTTCTCGTCTTCCTTCCTTCCTTCCTTCCTTCCTTCCTTCCTTCCTTCCTTCCTTCCTTCCTTCCTTCCTTCCTTCCGTTCTTCATTCCCTCCCTCCCTCCTTCTCTCTTTCCTTCCTTCCTTCACTCCTTCCTTCACTCCTTCTCTCCTGCCTCCCTTCCCTTCCCTCCTTCCCTCCCTCTCTGTCTGTCCTTCCTTCTGTTTATTCTTCCCTCCTTTCCTTCTCTCCTTCCTCCCTTCCTTCCTCCCTCCTCCTCTTTCCTCCTTCCTTCCCTCCCTCTCTCCTTCCTTCCTTCTCTCCTTCTCTCTTCCTTCCTCCCTCCCTCCTTCCCTTCCTTCCTTCCTTCCTTCCTTCCTTCCTTCCTTCCCTCCCTCCCTCCCTCCCTCCCTCTTTCTCTCCTTCCTTCCTTCCTTCCTTCCTTCCTTCCTTCCTTCCTTCCTTCCTTCCTTCCTTCCTCCTCCTTCCTTCCTTCTTTCTTCCTCCTCCTTCTTTTCTTCTTCCTTCCTTCCTTCCCTCCTTCCCTCCCTCCCTCTCTCCCTCCCTCCCTCCCTCCCTCCCTCTGTCCTTCTTTCCTTCTCTCCTTCCTTCCCTCCTTCTCTCCTTCCTTCCCTCCCTCTCTCCTCACAGCCTCTGAGGATGCCTGCCATAGATGCGGGCAAAACCTCAGGAGAGCATGCTTCTGGAATAATGGTCAGGCAGCCCAAAAAACACACAGCAGCCCAGTGATTCCGGCCATGAAAGCCTTTGACATCATAATGTCAGTGCATTCATCCTTGAGGATGAAGTTAACCAGCAAGTCTCTTTGCTTGGGCAGGACTAGGCAGACCTCAAGGGCTCAAAATAAATCAAGAGGAGTATAAAATAAAACCCAAACACATGGGCGGCAAGTGGAAGCCAAGCCTCTCGGAGCACCCCGTTCCCAGCCCCACAGTGGCGCTTGAGACTCTGTCTTCTGAGCGGTGGTGGGCAGGCCTGCAGGAGGGACATGTTCCCTTCCCTTGGAGTGGGTGGGGATGAATGAGCTCCTGATTGCCTTTCCTCTCCTTTTCTGAAGCAAGTGCTCCTGGCGCGCTGGCTTGGCGAGCGGGAAGTGTCGCTTGAGATCCTCCAGCCACAGCCTTGGCGTCGCCGCGCCTCCTGCTCATTCCTCTCTTCCAGATTGCTCTTTCATGAGCTCATTCTAAAATTAGGGCCCAGTTTTGTCTGCGTCCAGATGTTCCCACAAAGACATGCATGGCTTGCGTGGGGGAGGCCAGGTGGCCGCGCATTGGGGGAGGACGTGCGAGGAGGGGGCCTCTCCGGCCTAGATCCCGCCCAGGCATTTGGCTTCTCCTCCTCCTCCTCCCACACCACCTTCCCCCCACTTCCTCTCAACCCCTTTTCCCTTTGCTCATCCTTCTCTGCACCCGAGTGTTGCACCCCAGGCCTCAAACCACCTATGACCGGAGCGCCAAAAGCCCCTAAAATAGATAGAATCCTAGAATCCTAGAGTTGGAAGAGACCTCCTGGGCCATCCTCCAGTCACCCCATTCTGCCAAGAAGCAGGAATATTGCATTCAAATCACCCCTGACAGATGGCCATCCAGCCTCTGTTTAAAAGCCTCCAAAGAAGGAGCCTCCACCACACTCTGGGGCAGAGAGTTCCACTGCTGAACGGCTCTCACAGTCAGGAAGTTCATCCTAGAGTTGGAAGAGACCTCCTGGGCCATCCTCCAGTCCAAGCCCATTCTTCCAAGAAGCAGGAATATTGCATTCAAATCACCCCTGACAGATGGCCATCCAGCCTCTGTTTCAAAGCCTCCAAAGAAGGAGCCTCCACCACACTCCCTCCGGGGCAGAGAGTTCCACTGCTGAACGGCTCTCACAGTCAGGAAGTTCATCCTAGAGTTGGAAGAGACCTCCTGGGCCATCCTCCAGTCCAAGCCCATTCTGCCAAGAAGCAGGAATATTGCATTCAAATCACCCCTGACAGATGGCCATCCAGCCTCTGTTTCAAAGCCTCCAAAGAAGGAGCCTCCACCACACTCCCGGGGCAGAGAGTTCCACTGCTGAACGGCTCTCACAGTCAGGAAGTTCATCCTAGAGTTGGAAGAGACCTCCTGGGCCATCCTCCAGTCCAAGCCCATTCTTCAAAGAAGCAGGAATATTGCATTCAAATCACCCCTGACAGATGGCCATCCAGCCTCTGTTTCAAAGCCTCCAAAGAAGGAGCCTCCACCACACTCTGGGGCAGAGAGTTCCACTGCTGAACGGCTCTCACAGTCAGGAAGTTCATCCTAGAGTTGGAAGAGACCTCCTGGGCCATCCTCCAGTCCAAGCCCATTCTTCAAAGAAGCAGGAATATTGCATTCAAATCAC